ATCTGTTGTATGGTTCCAACCTTTTTATATCACTGCCCAAACTGCATTCATTGGTACAGTTTGGCAGTAGCACAGTGGCAAGGAGATAGTCCTGCATCTTTGTCTACTTACACAAAACCCTGTAGAAGATCATCAAGAGTTCATTTTCACTTAGACACCATGGATCTTTGGGAATGACTGTCATGGCAACACTGATCAAATGTTTCACAACACTTCAGGTCTTACAGTTACTTATTGAAATTCAAGCAGTTCAAGTCCAATGAATAGCTAGCTTGAAATGGCAGAAACATAAGTGGTGAACTCCCAGTGGTTTAAAAAAAGGTAAGGTTACCCTAAACTGAAAAACAATATACATTTCAAAATATACAAATGGCCTTTTTCTGTTAGAAAAATAGTGAAAAATGATGAGGAAAAGGCAATTAACAATAAAAGAGAAACAGATTTTCATACTTTTAAAAGTGTCTCTCTTACAGCTGTGAAAGCTGAGTACAGTCTCAGTCATTAAAGGCACACAGAAACAAACTCTGACAGGAAGACGTCAGGCAGACCCAAAGCCACAACTGAATCAGAGGATAAGTTTCTGAAAGTCAATGGCTTGTATGACGGACAGTTCACAGGACCACATCTTCAAATATAGCTTCATGATGATTATAGTCACCAAGTCTCAGCTTTGACTGCCAGTTACATGTTTGACAAGTCGAGTTCCTGCAAGAAAGCCATTGATAAGACAGCCCTGCGACAGACTGGCGACATTCATACCCTGCCTCTTGCCTATGGTAGCTGGGATAGGCTCCAAGTAATCTCCAAGGAGTTTGATTCCCTGATGATGCTAATGATTCTTTGACACCTGCAGGTTATAGAAAAGGCCATGAGTCACTGGTGTCAGTAATAGCAGACACAAAGAGGCTTTTAAAGCACTTCATACACAGTTCTACTTCCCATTTCCTGGAAATATTTCGACAGTCAGACACTTTTCATAATTTGTTTCCATGTGCTATCACAGTGGATCTAAAATACATCAAGTCCAGTTTTAAAATACTCAAGTCAATTAAACAAATCATAAAAGTCAGTTATATAATTAATGTGGACATGAGCTATTGTTACACTCATTTTTACTCCAGTCCTTGTACTTGACTATTTTCTGAGGAATGTTTTGTGGTTTGTTAAACCACTTGACACTGACCTGTGAATCATACATAAATCATCATAAATCACTCCTGTTAAACACGGACAACAGATTTAAGAGCCACTGAGTCTTTGATTTTATTTATTTTCTGCTGTGTTTTACTTGCATCTATTTGAAAGAGTGTAAACACAAAACATGATTTGATTTTATATGCTGGAATATGCAGAACATAGGTTTAAATGTTAAACACGTTTCTTCAAGTCAAAGACTGTTGATATCATTTAATGTTTGCTTGATGCATAAAGATAAAAGAGTAAAACTCATAAAACAAGTTTTTCATTTGATTTAATTTTATATGATGTATTATTTATAAAAAATAGAATTGGGCTAAATGGTCTATTGCTAACTAACTAATTACTTTAGCAAATAAGTAATCAGTAAAGTAATGGGATTAATTTTTTTGGAGAGGTAATCAGTAATTAGTTACTGATTACTTTTTTCAAGTGCCTTGACCAACACTGGTAACGAGTACATGCTCATGTTAATATTTTGGGTAATCCTTTGATCAGTATTAAGAGATTGTGCAACTGTGTTAACCATGAGTAAAATCACATTTAAGTGATGGTTCTGTCTTTAACCGTGACAACACTTAATACTATTTTTCTAATACAGGATTATGTTTATGATTAGTTGGCCACACAGTTGTAATCTTCCTGCATTCCTTCACACACAGAACTGCCAGGGTCTACGCTGGGTCATGTCCACAGACACTCATGAACCTCAGTCACTGGAAGAGGCAGTTTTACTACTCAAACTACATTTCTCATTTATATATTGATCACATTTATATTTTATCTTTTATTAAGAATTAAAAATGATTTATTGTTGGAAAGTAGGGAAACGCTCTGGTTTAGCACTGATCATTTTTACTCACATAAGCCTGGATATTAGGACCTGTTAGCCTCTTAGCTGTGATGTAGGGGCAGGGGGAACTTCTCCTTCTACCCCAGGTCACATGACACAATCCCACTTTTAGTCACTATTTTAAGACTTTTGGTTACATCGTTTGGTCTTCATGAGCAAAGGATAGCTTGGTTCTCATTAATTAGTAACATGTCATCATCTTGCCTTGCTGTTTCGGGTTTAGTCATCTCAGTATTTAGCTCAAAGTACTTTTATTTTGAAATTATTTAAAGGCAATGTTTTGATCTAAATATGATCGCATGTGTCATATGATATGATACAGGGTGAGCCCATATCATATATCATGGAGTGGGGTACGCTTCTGCTTTCTGAAATTGAGGGTCAAATAAAATTCATGGTGTTGAGTTGGTCATTGTGATAGTCACAGCGTCCCACCTGACACTGTTTGTAACAGCTGCTAATAGCTAACCTGTTAGCTGTCAGTCAGTTCACCTTTCTTTGCAAACAGTTTCTCAAACGCTGACGTTCCTCAGTCGCCTTTCTGTCCCTTTTCTTTCTTTTCAACACAGCGTGCATTAGCAACAACCATGACAGAATAAATGAGCAGTTGTGTAGACAAATACTAAAAGAAGACGAGTTTTTAGGAGGAGTCTTTACCTTACAATATAAAGGCCTCAAGGCAGCTGTTGTGGATTGGTGGTAAATATGTTTAAATTGAACTGAATTACTGCGTATCATAGGACGTCATGTAGGCATGTAATAGTGCATGTTTGGTAGGTGGGTACATTAGTGTCTATCATGGACTACAGTGCAGTGTAACATGTTACATTTCATTAACCATGCAACAGTCATGTGCCATGACGAGGGCCTGTGTTCTGGCATAACGTACTCTGCAGTGTGGTGCAAAGTTTTGCTGCAGGTAAAATTCCTCAATACAGATCAATCAGAATCAGTTGTACCTTTTAGTGTGTTTTATTTTTTTCTTGATCTGAGAAAAAAGTAAAACGTCTGACATTTCCCACAGTGCTGTAGTGGTTAGCACTCACAGAACAGCACACACACCTGGACAGGTCAGGGCAGGCATCCATAAAATTAAACCTAAACACATGCAGCTTTGCCACATTCCTGACTAAAACAATGAGCCTTCTGTGCTGAAGGATCTCATAAGTCAAACATAAATGAGTCGTTAAAGTCCCTGTCTGAATGCCAGCATGACTGTGGTGCTGCCCCAAGCTTTCAGTGAACATTCCTGTTTAGATCACACTTCATAAACTGAAAGACTTTCTGTCTGTGAACCAGTAAGACTGGCAGGGATAAGGACAGTGATGAGAGCATTAAAATGACACATTTTGCTGTTAAATTGCTACATAAAAATAGATCTGCTAACCCCAGGGTGCTGTCCATTGTTACTATAAATGGGATACTCTGCTCCGGTGAGCAAGTTTGGAGGCGTTGTTTGTAGTTACGTGTCTGTGGTGAAAATCCCTGAGTTGTGCTGATGCCAGCTTTACTTCCTCATTGTTGAGGCCTCCACCTGAAACTGTCCTCCGTGTATAAATAAAAAGAATAATACAAATGAAAAAATGAACACTTGTTTCATGTAAGAAACATCATTTCTTCTGAGTGCATGGATTATAATGAGTAAGGAAATGGACAGTACAACTCTCCATGTATATTTTTGTTTTATGTCATCTTAAGCACAATTTGTCTTTTTATTTAGGTCACACACAGGATGCTTTATTTAGAAAAACAAAAACAAAAAAACAGTTTCCTGTTTCCATCCCAGCTCTCAAAGTTATCACTGCGTCTTTTGTCACTTGAAAATTACTCATCTATTCAGATATACTCTTTTTTTCCATGCATGTCTCACTTGCCAGGAGATGATAGAGAAAGTTCTCTGTAGTCATAAGCCAAGGACACAGTTAGACTTTGATCAAAAAAGCTATTGTAAATACGTTGATCTGGACACATTGTTACATAACAGATTCCACAGCCAGTCACACCTGTTATATCTGTATTTATCTTTTTTGTATGCATCACAAGATTTTACAATGATTTTTAATTTATTGCCCATTTATGCCAACAGGTTTAATGAATTTCTTTGTTTAATTTTCCTACCTTTGTTCAGACCACAGTTTCAGTTTATTTGTGTTTTATCTGAGTTTTTCCTTTTTGACTGCATCTCAGAGGGAAGCTCTGTATTTTGTGTGCTAGCAGTGAAAAGTATATGATGTAATAAATTATCCTGTTTTTGTTGATTATTCTGCCCAATGGTAATAAAGCTATTTCATTAATTTCACCCCAGCAAGTCTGATTAAAATTTCATTTACACTGGCAAAGCATACGTCTTTGGGTTTTGCAACTTTTAATTGAAATAATGAAATGATCCCAGTGCTTTTATCAGCCTGCGCTTCTTTGTTCAAATTTCCTTCCTGGAAAATTGTTGCTATTTCAGTGTTTTGACATGAGCAAAAACAAAGTCATGAATTGTAAAGTAACCTCAAAAGACATTGGTGAAACGTCAACCACACCCTGTGTGAGCTGTCTATAAAGATGCAGCAGCTGAACAGCTTCTGCATCCACCAGACGTCTGGTACAGCAGGTAAGCAGCTCACCTCCTCATTTCGTCTCGATACATGCTCAATCGTACAGGTAAGGAAGTCCCAGAAAGCTGATTCTGTTCATGTGGATGTTGCATTTTCAGTGGGAGAAAATTCAACATCCAGATGAGAAGAATCAGATTTCTGGGTTCTCCTCACAGCATTGATTTACTTTACTGTTCCAGCATTTATACACACTGAAGTTCTCATAACCAAATGCTGGTCAGACTTTGACTGTAGGTTAACTGCAGAGGACCAACATCATGACTCCAGCTTTCTTCTTCTCCCTCTTCCTGTCAATGACGGTCGTTTCTCTGGTACGTTTGACTCTTGTTGTTTTGGTAATGTTGTTAAACGCTGCCTGCTGTTCTGTGAAAGCCGTGAACTTCTCACCATGTCTGCTTATACCAGTGACCACGATACCAAAATCTGTCAGTGTGATTTTAAACGCGATGAACAGCAAGTTAATGTGTTTGCTGTTTTTGTACTGCAGAGGGCTGCTGTCATCAAAGATCCAAGTGGTGCGTTGAACGATAAAATACTTCCCAGATGTTAAAGTTAAATTGTATCTGAGAGCTTATAGTTAACATGCTGCCACTCCCTTGTGTCCTCAGATGAGTTTTTGGGTGCCTCAGCGATCATTGAAAAAGTCAACGCTGACATATGTAAGTGAAAATGTACATAATAAAACTCTTTTGGTTAACATAGAAATACTGGAGGAAAAATGGAAATTTCCAGAGCCTGTTAACAGAAAATAGACGGCCAACACTCATGATGATCAATCACTCACTTTCTCCTTTTTGTTTTACATTTTATCACTTAGCATTCAACAAGTAAACATGCATTCTGTGAACATCCATCCACTCTCTGTTTGTTGTGCTGCAGCAAAAGGCCTGGTTCATGGCGACATTGCACCCACTTTAACCAAGAATGCTGATCCATGCACAGCCACTGGCTGCAAGTGGCCCAAAAGTGGAAGCCACGTCACTGTACCTGTCTCCATCTCCTCTGTATATTGTAAGCAACACAAACTTTACCCTTAAACACTGACTTCAGATATTTCTCCCTTGGATGCTCATTAAACTTGTTGTCAAATGCCATCTTTATTAAAGAGTTAAAAGACAGACCAGGAAACACGAGCTGTTTAGGCTGAAGGATGAAATATGTAATGAATCAAATAGGCATATAATTTAGGTTGTTTCTAGAATAAGTCACTTGAACTGAAATTATGTAAACTGAAAATAATAACATGTTTAGAAACCAGCTTCACGGAGAAAACTAAAACTCTGTGACAACTACAGCAAACAGATCCACAAACGTGTCAAATTATGTTTTCATTTAATGTTGATTTCCATTCTCCTGGGAATGGAAGCATGGGAAGTATGAGAGTTATGGGGATATCGACTCTTTATGTTTAAAATTCACTGTGAAATATGGTGACTAGCAAGTACAGGGAAACTCCACACACAGAAAGCCAACACAACCTTTTTACACTGATGTTGCCACATGGATAGCTGAAACTGTTTGTTATACTTGTAATTTTATTGTCACAGTGGCAGTGTCAACAGTCTCCTAAGCACAGTTTAGATTGCTAATATTAAATATACAGACGACTGTCAGGTGTCACGTGATGAGAGGGGAAGCACGAAAATATACATAAACATTGCTAAGCTGTTGAATTTTTTCTCATAAAGCATGTCTGAGAAATTCAACTCTATGCATCAAATAAACTACACATGAAGGTGATGCAGTGTTACTGTTGTTCAAAGAAGCTCCTCAGCAGACTCGTATTTGTTTGTGCAGCCACCCAGGAGCGCAACATCATCATCAGTGCCCTGCTCACCTTCCACGAGTCCACCTGCATTCGCTTCGTCTGGAGGACAGACCAAGTCAATTACCTTTACTTCTTCTCTGGAGAAGGGTGAGAATGCACTCCCTGTACTGACACTGTATGACAAGACAGGACTGACACACTCACGTCCTCAAAACCCTTTAAAATGTAAATAATTATTGCAAATATTCTATTTGTATCATGTGACAGCTCCATCCTGTGCTGAAATTCTACTGTAAAATGTCCAGCTTTATTATTGTTTGCTACTATATGAAATGTATACCCTTCATAAGAGGGTAAATAGCATTTTGACGATCTGTTCTCTATTATTTCACATACTGTTTAGTCCACTCGTGCCAGGACTAGAGACTGGCATCTTGTAAGGCAATAAGATGAATCTGGGGTGGGTTGTTAAATGATCAAGGGAAAACAGATCTTTAAAAACCTTAGGAGATTGGTTAGACCGGTATCTTTTTATTTATTTTGGCTGATAGTAGATAACTGTTTGTCTGTCAATCTCAATCGTTTTTTAACAATCTTACTGTGTATCAGGTGTTATTCGTACGTGGGCCGTCAGAGCCGAGGACAGGGAATCTCCCTCCAGAGAAACGGTTGCTTGTTCCAGTCAACGGTGCAACACGAGGTTCTTCATGCTCTGGGCTTCCACCATGAGCAGGTCCGCTCCGACAGGGACCAGTATGTGAAGATCCTCACCGAAAACATCATCCCGGGTCAGCTCAACTACACAAACCTTTGGTTACACTTCACATTAGTCCAGGACAGCAGACACTCTGTTTTATACCAATGAGCATTTTAAAAGTAAGCTGTGCTTTTCCAAGCTCAGCAGATAAGACAGCAGTGCATCCGGTATTCCTTTGGTCCCGAGACTCTCAAACCAATAATAATAAATGTTTGTAAGACTTCAAAGGCATCATGTCAGGAATGTAGAAGTATCTCAGTCACTTTATTTGACGGGAAATAGAAAGTGTGGAAGTAACAATGCAACATGGAGTAACTACTAAGCATGATACTTTACTGCTTGGGGGGGATACAAAATAGTAAAACCAATTATATAGTAGTAAATAGTCTTTTGTGAGTATAAATAGTAGATATATGTCTTCATGATATGGAAGCATTTATTCATGTACATGTAAAAAATGTTTTGCCATAGCACTTTCTTTGTTGCTTTGCAGTAGTCATTCATGTTTAACCTTCTTCCTCATTTTCGCTTGGAATGTAAATGTTATATTGTAAATACGTCACGGCTGGTTCAGCAGTCATGTGGTGTTGTGAGAAAAAGGATCCAAGATGCAGGTACTGGCTAGGGTGCGAGTGAGTGTTTATTTATAGTAAAAGCAAAGTAAAAAAACAGAAAGAGCAGAACGGGGAGTTAACAATACCTAAACTGGGGAAAAGTAAAGAACTAACCTGAAACCATACGCACAGAGAATGTTGGGCAGAGAGACACAGAAATTACACCCGGTTACACAGATGACGCAATGAGGAACACAGGCAGGCACACACTATACACACAAGGTAATGAGGGAATGACACACCAGAGGGGAACACAGCTGAACCTAATTAGACACGACGAGACCCAGACCTTCAAAGTAAAACAGGAAACTCAAACTGTTTTACAAACACAAACTCAGGGACACAAACAGAGCACAACAGGGAAGAACTCAGGTGGGATAATAAAGCACTGAACACCAGAACCAAACCCTAACAACTAATACAAAATCAACAATAAGCTCAAAACACTGGGTCACCGACCCAGGACCATGACAAAATATACCAACATGCAGACCTTATGGTTAGATAATTGTCATCTTCACAGAGCTGAGAGCAAAGATTTGTAGTTGAATATCGTGGCAGCCACGACAGAGTAACATTTAAACATTTGTCTCCTGGAAATATCTGTGCAGGACAAGAGAGCAACTTTGAGAAAGTGCTTACCAACAATTTGCAGACTCCCTATGACTTCAACTCTGTCATGCAATATGGCAGGTGAGTTTGATGGAGCTTGTAAGGTGTTGTGTTACCTTTCATGTTTTGCATTTTCTGAGAGAAAATGTCATCCAGAATTTAAAAAACACGGATTCATTGCTAGGATTTTAGTGTGACTATTCAATACTTTTAAAGGCCTATTTTCTCCCCTGTTCATAAATATTCTTTATATAAGAATGAATGCTGCATATATGAGCATGGTACAGTCACAGTATATGCTTTCGTTTGTTCTTTTAGATACTCCTTCTCCAGGAATGGGCAGCCAACGATTGTTGCTAGGTCCAATCCTAATCTTGACTTCGGAAATGCTTTTCAGATGAGCGCCAATGACATTGCTCGTATAAACAGGCTTTATGAATGCTGTGAGTAATTAAGACACACAATAAGACAAAACAACAAACATACTTTCTTTTTGTAAGAATCACATACTTCACAGTACTCACTGGATTTCATCATTTTTTCTCAAACCAGAACTTTGGCATGACAATTCAACTCTACATCCAAATACTTCAGTTCTCAAAACATCAGGATTACAAGAAGGAGCATGTCGTCGATGCTGCAAAAATATGAAAGAAACAGGAAATGTGCTGCAAAGTTTTGCAAATATGTCACATTTGTCACAATTGAGAGATCAAGATCTGAGTCTTTGTGTTAGAGAATATGCTTATATGCCAGAGGGGTCATTATGTTTCTCATCTTTGTTAGTCAACTATGACTACCTGATTTCTTTCTTCTTTCTTGTAATTTGATAATATTTCAGATTCTAATTGTAAATGATGCAGACATAGCCCCAAGCCTTGTGACCACCACTCGCTTCAAACAATAATCCTGGAATCATCATGATTGTTGTCTCACTCTGTAGTAAATTAAAGTAATATTAGCATGACATGTCTAACATTAGCCATGTTGAAATCACCAAGTCAAACTAAGGAATATTTAATCCCAGCATACATAACTTTGGCAGCATCTTCTCTTTTTTTTTTTCATGCCATCTTTTTTCTTCGGGTTGCTCGTCTCTTTCTGTAATAAAAGTTGAATCGAATAAAATCCCATATTTCCAGCAAAAGGGGGCAGTATTGTTTCATTATTTTACAGAGATGTAGAGGACAGTGCAGTGTATCCCCAAAGTCCTTAGAGCACCATGATTGTTTATGCTTTATCACAGCAGGTTTCTTTGAGCAGTGTGTTCAGCTCAAAGTTATGTTAGAAATAGCTGTTGTGGTTAAAGTTGGACAAAATGTTACCAGTGACTTTTTCAGTGTGCAAGAAATGCATAAATTTGACTTTATAAATAAATGTTCCGCATTTAAAACCTGAAAAATCATAACAATATTATTGAACAGGGTATTAGAAGTATGTAAAGCAGCGCCTGCAGAAGCGTTTCTTAAGTTAATATTTATGCAGCATTATAATATCGTAGCCAGTCAAAGTCACACAAATCTTTATTTGTGGGTTCAAAAGTCCCACATTTTACTCATTTAAGTGAAAGTTAAAATCTGCAAATTGTAGATTATTGTCACAATACTTTTCTTTTTATCAAAATGTCTTTCTCAACATATCTTCCCTCCTTTTTCTTTAACAGCAACAGAATTTTGTAAAAAATATTTTTTCTCGGTCAACTAGTAGCTCTTGTAAAAGTGTGTTTAGGCTCATTATCCCGCTCCAGTATCAATAATTCTCCAGAACGATTTCAACCAGAGAGGGAAACATACTACTTCCTCTTGGGCAGGTGGAGTCAATTCAGTCCAGGTAACTCCAGAACAGCCAAACTTGAATATTCCCACCACCACCATGATGCACCGTACAGTTATGGGATCCGATTATTTGTCACTGTTACTGTTTCTACTAGTTCAGTTCACAAAGTTGCCTTTGTCTGTTTGTCTGTGTAACTAATTAAGTATACAAGCTGGGAATGTTAAATGGTGGCATTTAAGGAGCTGCTGGCTAACAGCTTAGTTTCCTGGTCTAATGCTGAGTGACAGCTACGTTTTAAGGTGAAATGATAGTTTGGAGATCTCAGACACTTGGGGAACAAAACAAATGAGCAGCATAGAATGACGCTCAGCTGAGGTCCCATAAAATACTGCCAGCCCTTTTGTCCTGCAAGTCGTTTTGTAACCCACCTTCACCCCAGTTCCTCCATTGCATGCTGTGTATGACTCAGACATGCCCGATATGCTCTGTGGTGGGGTCTTGTTCCTGCTCTCACTGCCTTTAACTTATGCACAGGAATATATGGGAAATGTTAATATACATGTAAATGACTAATGACTGATTCTACTAGAGTGCTCCTGACACATAGTTTTGGCTACAACAGTTTCAATGTCATACTGGAAAGCCTTTGGGTCAGCTGTGACTAAACAAAGGCGCACAAGTCTTGTCCTTGTCCACAGACATGTACTGTTTACTAAGGGAGTGGGAGTTTTCTTTATTTTATTTTTCATATGAGTTCTTTAAAAAGCCAAATGCTCTGGGTCTCCTTTGTCCAGCTGATGGACAGAGCCCACATAAACAGAGCATTTCTCTATACCTTTCTCTGTGTTTCTCTTTGCATCTTTGCTGTTTATTTCACTCAAGTGAATCATCACTCAATGGTAGTGGGCCTCGGATCCTAGCTCAGTGCACTTGTGCAATCATTTTCGTAGTAAAAACTAAAATTAGGAGAATTTTTAGCACTAGCAGAAAATGGATTCCCATGGAAAGCTTTATTTTGAAAGATGTCCCTCTCATCTAATGTGCTGCAGGCATCCACGCACTCAGATATGAGTACAAATATGTTCAAATAAACACCAGCAATCCCTACAGTGTCTGGCTCTGTGTGTTGTTCTGTGGCTGAAACACAGAAAAAATTTTGCAGCCCAGTCTCCTGCTAAATAATTGCTAAACTCCTGTGATCAGTGGTTTTCAGGAGCGGGGCATTTCTCCATAGCTTGGTTGTAATGAGTGGTTCTTTAAGATACTTTTACCTTCTTCTTAGCTCCAAGCAGTCTGTCCCATTCACCTCAGAGAACTGCCACTCACTCAATATTTTCTCTTTTTTGGACAGGAACACATCATAAATAGGGTGAGTAACAAAACACATGGCAGTTTAGGCTGCAGGAAGCGGGCATTTGGTTAAATGAAAGAGACAAAAATAAATACAGAATTAAAAAACACCACTCAAAGTAGACTCCAGAGTCTCCCATCTTTTTTTAATCTAAAGTCTAATAACAGAGCCAAGAGGTATAAAAGAAAACATCATCTGAGTCCACTTCATCTGTTGGATGCTAAAAAAAATCTGTATGTCTACGTATTTATGTATGTCGGCAATTGTATGGATTTGTCTCTTGAATAATTAAATTATTGGTTAATTGCAGTAGTTGAAGAGGTAAATTCTATCATCAACTAATCAGCGTTGATTGATGCTGGGTCTGCCCATGCTGGAGAGATTATATCTCTCAGGCCTGGGAATGCCTCGGTGTTCCCCCAGACAAGCTGGAGGAGGGGACTGGGGAGAGAGAGTTCTGGGTTTCTCTGCTGAGGCTGCTGGCCACACAACATAGCCCTGAATGCACAGGAGAAGATGGATGGATTCATGGATGGATGGATGGATTCATGGATGGATGGATGGATTCAAGGATGGGTCGACGGATTCATAGATGGATGGGTGGATGGATAGATGGATGGATGGATTCATGATGATGGATGGATGGGTGGGCGGGTGGGTGGATGGATGGATTCATGGATGGATGGATGGAACTCATCAGTGTGTGACTTGGTATTTGAGGTCATTCTCTCCTCACCCACAACCGATCGTAGCAGATGGCCGCCCCTCCCTAAGCCTGGTGATCCATGAGGTTTCTTCCTGGGAAAAGGGACTTCCTTCCGTCTGTCGTCAAGCGCTTTCTCATAAGAGGCCACATGATTGTTGGGGTTTTGTTTGTATTACTGCAGGGTCTAATGTTTCTATAATTATGTTATTGTGTTTACAGAGTAAATAGGCATAATGTCCCTACATACCTACTATAATGGAACTGCATTGAGAGCGTGACTCAATATAACAAGTGAAAGTTTCACTTCCTGGGGAAAGTGTGTGACTCTTGTTGTCCTTGTTGCATTTTTTTCTATATAATTTTGGATGCATGTTTCGGCTCGTTGCCATGCTGCAGAACAAACTGGGACTGATCAGATGCTACCCTGAGGGTTCTGTGTAATGGATAAGAATCTGACAATTTTACTTTTTCTGTGTTTTGCCAGCACTGTATGAGTCTTTGCCACTGGCACACTGTAAAAAGGCTCATGGGAGTTGTACCTCCAGCTATTGGTTTAGTGATGTGGGCCATACACTGTGTTATCATTAATATATTTAAATGGAGAACTAATACATTGTGGGATTTTGTTTAAAGAAGTGTAAGGCACAAATGTTGGTTTCTGAATTCTCTTATCTGCTCTCAGGTCAGCCCAAATTGTCTGCAGGTTTCAGGAGACAGGGAAGGATCTGCAGGCAAGTGGGGGGAAGAATTAAACACCTTTCTTACTGTCAGGTGACCTTTAATGCGGTGAAAGGGTGTGAAGCAATGAGGAGGAATGTTTATACCAAGGATAGTCAAGGGGTAGTGAGAAACATGTCTCTTGCTCACACACATGCACACACACATGCACACACACACGCACACACACAAGCTGCTGTTTGTGTGTAGAAGAGTAAGGATGAGCAGATGGTATCTTAGCAACAGCACGTTAACAGAGGAGAGGGGAGAATGCTTCAGTGAAGGTAGACCAAACTATTGAGACTGCACACACACACACGTCCAGACTCTCCACTAATAGGTTAGTTTGTTGCCTGAGCCCCTGGGCAGCAGACAAAAGGCTTTGTATTTGAGTTACCTGATGTCGCGTTTCAGTGAGTGATTCCTGATATCTGCACTTCATTGATTTCTGATGGTGATATTAATCTCTTTGGATTTTAAAAAACATTTTATTCCTAAATATTCCAAGTATTTAAGTGAACAGCATTTTTGAATAGCAGTTGTCATCCTACACTGCTACTGCACTAGTTACCATCAAAGGGAAACAACTGGTGTTGAAGAATACCTTAGAGCAACACGATTATTAATATATGAGAGAATTAAAAATTAATTAGTAGTATTTTTAGTATTAAAGTTTAGCTTGTTATCAGTTACTTTGGGAACATGTTTATGCGATCTGTTACTCTAATAGTGTCCCCTTTTTCATCAGTACTGAACAGACAATTCTTTCTGTCTCTATGCTAAGCTAGCATTAGCCTATCTTCACATAAAGACTGAAAGACAGGTAAACAGACTTAGGTAGCCATAAGCTAGTCTTGTTGCCTCAGCACCCCCATCCCTGAGCTTAGCTCTGCCACAGGTCTATTCCACTGAGTTCTTCCTCTTTACTGTCATAAGAATTGCTCATAGGGATCTGTGATTGTTACCTTGGATAAATGTTGTTGTGGAGATCAAAGGTCAGTCAAACCGAAAGCTAAAATTGCATTCTTTTATCTCCAGCTCCTATTCTTT